TTTTTTGTACCAAGACATTGCTGTGTTGCTGGGCAGAACTGAGTGCTTTTTGTGCTTAAACCTAACTATGATAACCGGAGTGTTGTTAAAATGTGGAGTTTCAGTGTATCTGATACATAATGACATACAAATGTAACATATTCATGCTTTGCAGAAGTATACAACTACACAACATTTTTCGGGCGATTGGGTTGCATGACAACTATAAAAGGTGCTTTCAGACAGCTGTAAACCGCCGCTGCATCTGCTGCCCAACAACATTGATGTTCTGAATTAGCGGCAGGAAGACAAAACACAACTACACCAGCTCATGGCTACATCAAGTTCTACAAATTGTCTGTTGTAGAGATGCGACTGATCTCCGGGAAGTCGTTAAAGTAGAAGTAGTTTTATTGTGGGCAGATGTTGTTGTAGTACAGGTCAGGTTTCAGTGCTCAAAAAGTGACAATGGCTCAGACAGTCATCTCCCCAAAAAGAAAGTAAAACTCTGACTCCGAAATGCAGGAGTGTGATGTTATATGTTAATACCCAAATGGCAATCATTACATTCTACCATACACCATGAGCTACTATCCATCTAGAGTAATCTCATCGAGTAGCTAAATACAGCAGGTTGTAGCATTAAATAGAGGAAATAGTAGCAGTACAATGTGATTAATACAGTAGGTTTTGCTAACTAATATCATAAACTTTGTTTATTGTCCCACAGCGGGTCACCAGACTTTGACAGTTTCACTTCATCAATAGCAAATGTTTGCTCTCTGCTTGTGAAAAGGTATATAGCTCAGAGATCTTAGATATCATTAAAATTAACACCTGTATGTTTCCCTCTGTGTGGTTTCTGTGGTTGCCATAGCGAGCAGCAGCAGCAAAACTGAAAAAGTTGAACTCTGAATTTGGCCACCATCCTCTCCTTACTGTCCTGTTTGCATTAGAAACAATGGAGGTGGCTCGCTGTCTGAAAACACCTTTAGTTCAGACTGTATAAGTGTTGTGTTTACAGACTGTTGAGTGGGCAAAAATAATTTAATGCAGATTTAGTAAATCATTTATAAGATATATTTTGCAGATTATAAATGCCTTCTGGTGGTCTGCAAATGCACTTAAGTGTTTTTCACCCTCTTATACTCAATAAGTGAGATCACTGTGTGCCATATAATTCAAATTAAATGCGTCCTTACAGTGTAGCTATAAGCACTCACTGTATATCACAGTATGCCATCTATCAACACAAAAATTCCAGAAAAATAATCAGGTTAAGTGCTACAGTAGGTGGGAGGACCTCATGCAGCAGCAGCAGCTATGTGATAAGAAACCATTACAACCAAGACATAAGTTGCTGTGTGTAGGGTAGGAGCAGGGAGCAGCCCATTTACTGACAAGTGAAGCTTAACATGAGAACTAAATTCAAGGGTGGCCAAGATCCACGCAGGCCATCTGCCAAGAATCCAATACAGCAAATGGCTGGATCGGTGTAAGCCCTAAGCTGACAATAAAGTCACTATGCTTAAAAAGATGCTAACATCCTTTAATGGGTATGGAAGCCACAGCAGCAGAATACAAATCCAGGCTGTTTTCTCTCGCCGTCCCTGTAGCCCAGACTTTTATCCGCTTCCATCCAGCACGCCCTGTGAAGTTGATTAATTGAACCCTTTTGGACAAAAGGGAAACTTTTATCAACTTTGGCTGTGACTAACCCACAGTGTGTGTGTGTGTGTGTGTGTGTGTGTGGAGTTTGGGGAAATTAAGAAAAAGCTGCTTTATCTTCTCATCGCAAAACAGGGTACTGGAGTGTTTGCCAAGAAATAAAATGCATCAGAATCTCACATATTAGATGTCGGATCAAGATGGGGAGTCGGGGGGAGAGTTTGCCACCTGCTTTGGGACAGACACGAGAGGCAGCATGGGGTAAATGTGGGGTCAGGGCTGTCAACAGTCTCTCCGTTAGACAGGCCAAGTGGAGCTGCTGATACGAGGAGGGCAGAAACTACAGCGATGACATGATGGGGGACCCGGGGGTTATGCAGTCACACTACCACCATCTTCATTGAGCATTGCATGGCGTGTAAACTGTGTGTGAGGAGCTGTGTGTGTGTGTAAACATTCCTTTAAGGAGTTTTCTCTCAGGACTCAGCGATGCTCCCACAGTGGAAGCCTGTCCACGACCCCAATAAAAAGAAGAGGGATGCCCACTTCCTGCTACCCTCAGGCGTGCCAGTCCTGCCTCAAGGGAGAGGGGCCCCATAATTTATTATTTGTTCCCCCTCTTGTTAAGGAAATACTTTCTCAATAGCTCTCTCCCCTTTGTATATTTTTACTGTCCTTATTTTCTTCCTTGACTCAACCCTGTCCTCTCTTATTTATTTGCTTTCTAAACACCAGCTTGGTTCATTACGTCCAAGCTGCCACAAAGAGACTTTAAAAAATTACTTTTGTCCTCACTGACGACAGTGTTTATTTGTCTGGGTGAACCTGAAGGGGGGAAAGAGTATTTTGGGGATACCTATGTGTAGGTGACAGCCCAGCTGACCTCGATCACCATTACCTCAGGCCGTAATCACATTCCCCTGCTGCAGATTGAAGATATGTGGACTGATGCAACGAGCTCAAATGTCATAATTTATCAGGCCGGCCCTGCCACTCTTAATGTAAAGACATTCCTGCACCATGTGAAGTTAATGGGATGTTATGTCCACAGCACATGTTGTGTGAAATTGTGTCTTTCAGCACGAGCAAACCATCATTAAACATTCAACATTACCCAGATGGACCCAACTCTGCTTTACTCCCAGCAGTGACTTCTTTGTTTGTTGGTGTTGGGCAGGTTTGGCTGTTTTCTCTCCCCCACCCCCTCACCCATCCACAGACACCATCAAGGGAAGAAAAAAAAAAAAAAAGGGATGAAAAGGCCAAGCCACTGGCTGACCACTCATCCATGACTCAGCTTTGAAAATCTCCGCCTTCAAATCAAATTGTCCGGCTTCAAGGAGCAGAGGTGGCACAGTCCTGCCCCGGGCCACTCGGTGTCAGCAGCCAGCTTTGAGGGGTTAACGCGCATTTTTCTCAGTTGTCAAGGACGTGTGATGAGGGCAAAGGAGTAAAGACAAGCTCAAAGGTCACCAAGCACACAAATATCAAGTCTTTGAAATACTTAATTGTGTTATAAAAGGAGCGGCTGGAATTAACACATTTTTAAATCCAAACACGAGTCATTTAACAGTTTTTGCTTTTGCAGAAACACATCGGTTTGTTGATTTGCCTCGAAGGATGAATCATTATTTATTTTGTGTTAGTATTTGTATAAAAATATTATGTTGGGTTTTCAAAGGTTTGCTTTATTTTACCCAAACAGCATTTCCTGTTTTTGATGATATGTTGGAGATTATTAAACAATTTAATGTCATTATGAGACTAAATGTTTTCTTTAGATATTCTGTAGAGATGGTAATGTCAGTCGGTCCATCACTTTGATCTAGAAGAAAATATCTCAACAACTATTAGATTGATTATCATGAAATTTGGTGCACACATTCGTGATCCCCAGGGGACGAATCCAGATGACTTTTATAACCCCCTAACTTTTCCTCTAGCGCCACCAGGAGGCTGATATTTGTGGTTTTGAGTAAAATGTCTCAACAATTATGCACCTCATTTCCACTTGTGTATGTGACTGGTGTCTGTAGATCCGTGAATATACAGATGATGCCTCTAGTGTCCAATGCAAGGAAGTGCATTTCTTCATGGATGGATAGAAACCTGATAGAAACTACCTGTAGCCTTGGGGGAAAGGCTAATTTTATCTGTTTTTTTCGCCATCTGGTAGTTTGGAATGTCCTCTTGGAACATTACCGGGACAAAAACAGGACCAATACTGCATGGCAACAAATATATCAATATGTTGACCTGCCAGGTATGCGGCATGTGTTGTGAAATATTTATTAAAAAGACATATGAACAGCTGAACGAGTCATATTGACGATCTGACTGTATATAATGTGTAATCATATTTTAGTAGATCTGATATTAATTGTGAGTGAGAATGAACCCCTTTACATGTATGAAATGTTCTTGGTTGATTTTGGATATTTATTGTTTGTGGTTTGTGAACATTACCCAAGGTAATACATCTAATTCGTCCATTTTTCTCTTCCTGCACTCCTTCCCAGGTATTATTAGTTTTCTTTGGCTATTTCATGGCTTGGTCACTATGACTGGTTGTCATTCTGTGCAGGAGCTGACAGCTCTCTGACTGCAGGTGTGCAAAGACCATTTTTCCTGTATCGAGGCACATCCACACCAGCAGGAGAATTTTACTATTCTGGTCCAGTCTATTTCCTTGATTTCCATACAGTCAGCCACCTTCCCCCAAGAGGCAGAGCAGAGAAGATAAAAGTGGGAAAACACAACTCTTAGAGGAAGAATATTTTCTCCTTTTCCATTTTCATATTTACCACAAGGCAGAGACAGAGAGGTCCCATGGGATCAGGAACACGGGATGGTTTGTTGGCTTTTTATTTGAAAGATATAGAGGAGAGCTCTGAGGAAAAACGTCTTCTACCTCCTCTCCTCTGAGGTCTTGATTGAGCTTTGCAGCCCTGAGAAAACAGACACAGCAGCTTCCTCCTGAGCCGAGCATGTTTCATGTCAGGACAATTAAACAAGTCACTGTATCCAGCCATTTCTCAGGCCTCTCTCCAGACACTGAACTCAGTTATTACAGAGGCTAACTCCTCATCAGTTCACTGAGTGTGGCTAATCTTATCTGATCCGTTATTAGCAGCATTTTTCATCTTTATGGCAGAGCTAACAAGCCTTTGAGATCGTTAATAGCTGGGAATGTTCAAATCTCATGCTGAACATGAAGATGAATGAAAGAAGGATCACTGAACATAAATCACTATGTGCTCTCTCTGTGTAGTTTCACAGTGCGAGGAAGGTCTTAAGCCCAAAAATTCACAAGCAGTCCTCATGAAGCACAGAAGGAATCACACAGTATGAGGTGATCTCTCAAGCAACTAGTTTTATTTAATTTAAATCTGAAGCAGATTCTGATGCTTTGTGCATAAGCGGGAATGATTTATCACAGACATCTTGAAAGTCATGTTGAAAATAAGGAAGAGATTACACAGGAATGTATTACCGAATGCTTATTTCTGAAACGACAGCAAATTGGGACGTTGGTTTTCAAAAGAGAAATAATAAATCACACTGGCTTTTTCTTGCAGAAACATCCAGGTGCTCATTTTGTGAAAGAAAACAACTTCATGAACCATTTGAAAAGCAAACAGAGCACTGCACACTTGACTGCAGGGAAGGTGGAATGTTTTTAGTTACTAAAAGAAGAGCTGTCAATATGTTTGTTAACAGTGAAGGGGTCGTAGGTTAAGAGCCAGTAATCAGACAAAGTTTGAGTGATGGACGAGGTGGTATCAGCTGGGGGGGGGGGGTCCTTCACGGAGCTGCACAGTTTCACTTGTGTGTTTGTGTTCAACAAAGAGGGGACAAAACATTTATGAAACATATCAGGGAGCTGGTAAAGATAAAACCCACTTAAGGAAATATCCCTGCCAGACACTGAATGGATATACACTTGTGGCGCAGCCCCGATCCTCCCACCACGTTTAGACAGCTCCATCTTTCTTGGAGTCTCGGGGTCATCTCCTAGCGACCTGTTATCAATGGCCCGTCTTAAGGCCTCCAGACGGCATTAATCTGTCATGATAAGTTCTGCTTAAATTGCTGCATTGGTACCTCAAGCTTCATCCTAGTGCTGGTTTCGGTGTGTTTTTTTTTTTTTTTACGTTTCTCTTTGGTCTGTTTTCTAATCCATGTGTGGGGGGAGCATCCAGCCTGCCAGTATCACTCTCCGGCCTCGAGTCACAGGATGCACAGCCTCGCCTCCTCTTCCTCTACCAGACTCCTGGACAATGTAGATACATAAAGACACAAAGGTTAGCAAGGTGAAGTACTCAGAGGTAGATTGAACATGGCATTTAACAATTTACTGAGCTTCAAAGGTCATTGTTGGCTCTTAGAAAAAGCAGTTTGATAAACTATTTCACCTTAAAAGTGCAGTTGAAGTTGTTGAGTCTCGTTCCCAGCTCGTCATCAGTGCTTTAGCTTGGTGGACTACCACCCTAAAACATCGATATTTCATGACCAGGGAATGAGACTCAACAATCAACCGTCTTTCTCTAGAGTTACACACAGACTGCCACTAACTATTATTTTGATTATCAATTAATCTGCATATTATTCTTTCAATTAATCAATGAAATCATCAAGTTTAGTTGAGTATAAGCTGTGAAGTTTTGGGAATATTGTGAAAAATGCCAAGCCCAAGAGGGTGTCCTCAGTTAGCCTTTACTGTCTAATCAACAGCTAAAAACATCAAGGTTTTTGGTTTACGTTCACAAATGAAAAGCAGCACAGAATACTTCAAATTGGAGGTCGAAACAAAAGGCTATCTGCCATTTTGCTTGAAGAATAACTTCAAATTAATTTTCTGTCCATCATTTCAGCTGAAGCTTTCAATCATAAACCTTGAACACAGGCCTTGAGGTGAGATTGTTCTGTCAAGTGCTGTTTCAACAGTCAAGAATAAACTTTAGGGCTAATGTTATAGGCCAACATTAGCGAAAGGTCAGTAAAGTGTAATTAATGATAATAATAAGCATGTTTTATATAGCACCTTCCATACAGAGGGTGTAACTCAAAGCTTTACTGCTGCTTTACAACAAAGTGAAAAAACAAGAGAATGAATAAATGAATAGCAAACGCCTGAGAAGAAGATCTGTATCTTTAGTTGCTAAATGCTCCACTATGTTCACCAGCTAGTTGCTAACTGTGTCTGCCTGCTGTTTGATGCTGGGCTGGTAGTGTACGGAGGGTTTTTAAAGCTATTACACAGAAAACAGCTGCCTGTTGCATCAGGAAATGCTGCCGACGACAGCGGAGAGACTAAATTCTTGAAAACAAAAAAGTAAAACAAGTGCAAAGACTGTGCAATAACGCCAGACAATCACATGTATAACAAAGAAAAGAGGCAACACATATTGTAGCAAGCACAGGTATGCTAATAACAATGGAATATGTGAAAAATACAAGCACAAAGGAAGGCATAAGAAGAATAAAACATAACATAAGGACGAAAGTCAGTTAGTTCAGGGCAATGCTGACTATATAAGTTTTCAATTGTTGTTTGAAAATGTGCATGAATCTACTCTGGCCTTGGATAGGGAATTTTGTAATTCTGGCACTGTTTAAAAAACCCTTGGCTGACAAAACTATATATGTATATAAAGATATATTATTTGGCCAAATACATCTGCTGACAGAGATCATGTGATGAGATCAAAAGCTTCAGAACAGCTACTTCACTGACAACACCTGCAAAGTGTTACTTTACATTATCATCATGGTGTATTCAATACAGATAAATTTCAACACCACACTGACATTACCTCCTTATAGAGTTGATATGACGTACTTGTTATCAAACAGTTGCTCATTTACATGTCCAGCAGACACATTTTCATTCACTTGGACTCATGTTTGTGTCCACCTGATGAATATAAGTCCACCATTTCCTCTTTTTAACTTTGTCTGTGCAAACTCCTGAGAAGATCTGTCTCTTGAGCTGCTAAACACTCCACTATCTTCACTAGCTCATTGCTAGCTTTGTCTGCCTGCTGTTTGATGCAGGGCTGGTGGTGTACAGAGAGTTTTAAAGCTATTACACTGAAAACAGCTGCCTGATGCATCTGGAAACGTTGGAGACGAGAGCCAAGAGACTGAACCATCAAACACAGTAAAGTTGCCAGAAAACCAAAATAACGACTTAAAAGATGCTACAAAGCTCAGTAGAGCTACGGCAAGTCATTTGATTCATTGTTAAGATAAAAATATTCATTACAGCAGCCTTAAGATTAAACTGAACTACAGTACCGTCTAAAAATCTTGTCCCTGGTTGAGCTACTTGTTGCTGAGTCATGCAGCAGCCTGAGCAGACCACAATGAACAGCAGAATGAATTACAGTGTAATATGGTTCACATTAGCTGTGAGCAAAAGCAGCGAGCATCTGCCTGAACTGCTCCGAGATGCTTTCACAGGCGATAAGCCACCCGGTAATGGCAGCCTGGGGTCATTAGGGTCTGTTGTGCAGACAGTTTGCCACAGCACGGAGAGAATAAACAACCACCATTTTCATTTCTTATTCATGGTTTTAATCACGGATGACAAAACATCCAGTAAATAAAAAAATAAATAAATAAATAAAAGTTGGCGTCAACTGTGTGCCTTTCCTGTGCTTTAAATGTCTTTGGGACAGTCTGTTGGGTAATGAGAGGGAATTAAAACTGTGGCGAATTTGGAAATGTGTGTAAGGGGAGGGCTGACATTAACAGGCTGGCGTGGAGAAGAGCTGGCAGAGTCCCAGCACACAGCGCTGACAGTGTGAGGTCCTCTTTGCCCATTCTAATGAGGCATTGTGAGGGTCTGAGCTCAGGTCTGCAGCAGGGCCCCCTGGGGGTCAGATGCAGTCGGATCGACGGTGGACAGACTGGGAGGAAGTCTGTGGCAGCAGGATGAGGTGGCTGAAGTGTGTCACTCCACATACCAGGATGGCAGATGGTTAAACAACCTCAGTGAATGAAGGGAATGGCATGAAAAGTCTTCAAGGTCACTTACAGGAAACTGCATCATACTCAGGAGCTGTTTCCTGTGCACCCCAGTGATGTCAGCCCTTTGTGTTTGCAGGATTATCTTATTATGTGGCAGTCCAGGTGACATCATATGAGATAATATTGGACTGATACACAGGATCTACACAGGAAATACTCCCTGTGTTATTCACGCCGATGCTTACGCAGAAAGTTCTTGTTGATGTTGAGGAAAAACAGAAACAATGGACACGTCATTCGCACATTTCCACGTGTGTTTTCAGGTGTGATTTGCTTATACACTATATAAAAAGGTTAAAAGTGAACAGAGCAATCGAGATAATTTAAATCTAATGAAATCAGTGCATTCTCCTCGACAAGTTTAAATAATGTGCGGCACCACAGGGGACGTCTGTTTTCATTTGACCCCCCACCGCAGAGACGTGAATCTACGACACATGTCAGGGAAGGCTCCGGCGCTTTAGACTTTAATTGCAATCAGAAACTGCAGCAGTTGACTTTATGACACCTTTAACAGGAGAAGACAAACTAATCAGTGAAACCACCTGGTGCAGTGTTTTTGTTGGAACGAACACCTCTGTGTTCTCCAGCAGACATGGCTGTCCATCTCTGCCCCACAATGCTGATCACAGTCATCCTGACTGACAGTCTTGCTAACAGTTAGACCTCACTGTCCCAAAGTCTCCTTATCTTCTCTGGAATAATTGGGCCGTGTTTTACATGATATAAAATGTGCTTTAAAATTTTAGGGGTCTCATTTAAAAATAACAACCTGCAGCTCTGTTTAATAGAGGAATGAGAGTTATGAAGTTATGCACGATCACTGCAAGAGCTGAATTTATGACAGCACTGAGAGTTGGTTCAGCTCTCGTACATTATGGCAGGTTGTAGCATATTAAGAGTTTAAGTTAGAAGGTAATTACTGCTGTAAAGTTAATTCCAGAGGGAAAGATCAATCAGATCTTCCCAGACACTGCTGTATAGAGAATAGGCAACCACGTCATGGCACAGTGCAATCTGGATAGGGATGCAGTGATCCAACTTCTTCAGTCCTGATACAGATACCTGTGTATCTCTGGGTATTGCCACATACTGAGAACCCATCTGATACCAGCGTTTAATTAATAAGGTGTATGCCTCACTGTGCAGAAGTGACTGGGATCATTCTATTATGTTTAGAGCAACATCAGGCTTGACTTGAACATTGTTTTCCTAACTTGTAAAACAATATGTAATACATAGACTAGTCCATACCCATTGGTAGCTTTGTCACCTTTTACCTATGCCAATCCTCAATGCCTATGTGCAGTTTCAGTTTGACCACGTTAGAGTGTAGAACAACATGGGACAGACAGAATGACTGACTGACAGAATGACACACTGACAGTTTCCGTGATTATGTACAGCAAACCATACCATGACTTAGTCATACCAAAAATTAGAAAAAACCCCAAAAACATTCAGCCACAGGGGGAGCCACAGCGATCGGTTGCATTTTAGCCATTTTTAAGCATTTTTCTGTTGTTATAGCGCCACCCAGTTGCCAATTAGAGTTAAATTTCTCCAGTCACCTTGAAGCATCCTGTTCTACATATCTACCAAGTTTAGTAAAAATCGATTTGGCGTTTAGGCCTAGATAAGAAATTAGCTCTCTAGCGCCCCCATTTTGTTTGATGGGGTCAATAATGGAGGGGTCCCCTCAGATTATGTGTGGTCATATGCCTACAAAGTTGTGTGGTGATGGGTGAAACCCTTGAGATGTTATACACCTTTATGTGATGAGCCACGCCCTCCGCAATATTCATTGCCTTATAGAAGCTCAGTTTTAGTAAGTTTTCCAACTTTTGCCAAGAGGGAACTTTAGATATTGGTCCCTAGATTATGTTCACCAAGTTTCATGCAGATCGGTCAAACTCCCTAGGAAGAGATCGATTTTAAGTGTTTTTCAAAAAATTCAAAATGGTGGAAAATCTATGTAACCGGAAGTTACGGGTTCTTGAGGCAAATTTGTTCCTCATGAAGAGAGGCATCTCTGTGCAAAGTTTCATGTCTGAGATATGCCCATTCAAAGTTTGCGATTTCAATCGGTTGCTATAGCGCCCCCCTTTGGCCAATTGATGTAATATTGCTTCATTTGCATCCTCCCATGACCCTCTACCACTGTGCCAAATTTCACATGGATTGACCAAGTCAGTGAGGAGAAAAACGTGGAACAGACACACACAGACAGACAGAGTTTTCGTCATTATATAGTAAGATATATATTTACTGAATAGTTATTTAGTATTAAAATAATAAATCATGCACTAAAAACTTAGTAAAAGAAAATCTTCAAAATTACTGGGAATCACTGTTTAAGTGTAAACCTTTTAAATGCATTATTATGCATATTTCAGTCGACCCAATATCAGTATCCGTGCATTCCTAATTCTCAGAAGTTGTCGCCATGATTGAGCATACACCTCTTTGTTTACATTCATTCATTCATTTTCAACCACGAGTGCAGAGGGACAACAAATACAAATCAACAGAGAAAAAAACACGAATGGCCTGGGTAAAGATCAAGCGCAAGATTCCTTATTGAGCCGAACAAGGAAGCAAAGGAGCACTACTTTGACAGAATAAAGGAAATTACCAAGCTTGATGCGCATGAACACAAGTGGACGTCAGGCGATCTCTACGAGCCATTACAAGTAACATTTCCAGACATGTTTTCCTACCTTGTTTGTTGTTTGAGCGCTCACACATTCTGGCAGCTCAAGCATGCAGAGCCTCATCAGACTTTGAATTGTTACCAACTCACATCACACAGATTACTGACAAGAAGAAACATCTAATTGCAAAGTTCATTTTATTCTAGGTAACGTGGTCTCATATAATAATCCAAATTTGTTATCTTTTGAGTCTGTGTTTTATCTCTTTTCAAAATCAGGTTCATAAAAGGCATGAAAAGCTGTAGATGAAAATAAAGATGCATATATAAATGTATTTATATTCAATCAACAACAGACAAAAACAATGTCTACATACAAGTCAAATCTGTTTCTAAAGAGTAAGTATACCAATGCATGGTGCTGAGTTAGTGATGGAGGATAGAGTGTTTGAGGTAAATAGTTAAACTACTTTTACATTCACAGTATATATAGCCTGTCTAGATTGATATTTGGCAGTGGTTCCTGGATGATGTACTAATATAGTCTAATTTTAAAGTTTATTTTATTGTTTTGTTTTTTTGTCATAGTTACATTCCTTCTATACATCTTTCAGTCATAACATTTAAAGGTCTAGTGTGTAGGATTAAGGGGGGATATATTGGCAGAAATGGAATACAACATTCATAACTTTGATGATTTATAATCACCTGAAAATAGGAAACCTTGTGATTTGGTTAACTTAGAATGAGACGTTTAAATCCTTATAAGGAGCCTGTCCTCTTCAACAGAGTTTGCCATGTTGTTTCTACAGTAGCCCAGAATGGACAAACAGCACTCTGGCCCCAGATAGGGTCATTTATGTTTTTGTGTTTTCGCTTTGGTCACTGGACCACACTGGACCTTTAATGCTCAGGTTTTTGTTTCATATCATACGGATGTACTAACGAACCCCTTACTTGCTTATGGTAGTCCATCGTATCCGATGATGACATTCTACTTCTTCTTTTGGCAGTAGCTCAGTCCATAGGGACTTGGGTTGGGAACCAGAGGGTCGCCTGCTCAAGTCCCCGTCCGGACCATAAATGTGGAGTGTGGACTGGTAGCTGGAGAGGTGCCAGTTCACCTCCTGGGCACTGCCGAGGTGCCCCTGAGCAAGGCATCGAACCCCCCAACTGCTCTGAGCGCCTGTGATGGGCAGCCCACTCTGACATCTCTCCATTTAGTGCATGTATACGTCCAGTTTGTGCATGTGTGTGTTCAGACCTGTGTGTAATTGACAACAGAGTGTAAAATTGAATTTCCCCTCGGGGATTAATAAAGTATATAAAAAATAAATAAATAAATAAATAAATAAATTCTGAGGTGACTATGAAGTCCAATGCGTGAGCCACAAGGTCTATTACAGTGAGGGCATATTAAGTCAGTAATTGTTGTCGCCTTGGCTGCAGTGACCATCTTCCTCCCCTGGTGCTTCCTTTCCCTCGCCTCACTCCTCTCCTCTTCCAGGTGCTGAATGCCAGCTTGGCAAAGTCTCCTCCAGAGAGCACGGTCCGTGGCAGTGCTTTCCAGCTGTGTGTACTGTATCCCACACTTCTTGAGCGTTGTTTTGAGCTGGTCCTTGTATCTCTGCTTTTGACCTCCTGCAGATCGCTGACCATGGTGTAACTGACCATACAGCAGTTACCGTGGAAGTCTGTCCTCTGTCATCCTGATGGTGTGGCCAACCCACCGCAGTTGGTATTGAAGAAAAGTGGCCTCCATGCTCTTGGTACCAGTTCTCTTCAGGACTTCCGTGTGTGGTACACGGTCGCGCCAAGTTAGTCCAAGGATGCCAAGGACATTTGATGTGGAAGGACATTTGATGTGGAAGTTCTCCAGCTGATGGATGTGACGGCGATACAGGGTCCACGCTTCACAGCCATAGAGTAGGGTGGAGACACAGATAGCTTGGTAGACTGCAACCTTGGTCTGTATGCTGAGGTCCTTATTCAGGAAAACCCTCTTGCACAGCCTACCAAAGGAAGCTGAAGCAGCCTTTATCCTGTTTTGGACATCATTGTCCATGCTGCAGGTTTCGGAGAATGTGTTATGTGTTTTCTGTTTTTATTGCTTTTATCTTGTTTTACTGGCTTTGTCTTTTACTCAGTTGTGTAAAGCACTTTGTAACTGTGTTTTTAAAAGGTGCTATATAAATAAAGTTTATTATTTTTATTATAAATATCATCACTAGAAGCTAAATGGGATCCTACGCACAAAAAACAAGTCCGTTTCTTATGTTTCCTAGTCCACCTGATGATCTGTTTTGTCTTGAATTGTGAAGCCATTATTATCATTCAGAGCAGTCTTACAGCACACACACACACACACACACACACACACACACAAAATCACAGTTTATTACCCCAGACTGTCTGACCTGTAGGCAGTAATCTCCATGTCTCTGGCCATCTTCTCACTGAGCAGCTCCTTGTAGTCTTCACACTGCTCCCTCATCTGCACTTGGAAGTCAGCCTCCTGGCGCCGCATTTCATCTATAGTACACTGAAAAACATACACACAAACATGCACACACAGACGAACACACACACACACACACACACACACACACACAGAGTGTGGTAGGATTAGAGGGTGAGATTAAATGACAGAATTAGTCCAAACCACTGGTCCTTTACAGCCTATGATTATAATAATCAGTCCACTCTCAGACCTCCAGCTCAGCGATCTCGTCCATGTACGCAGCCTTCTTCATCTCAACCTCGTCCTCCAGCTCCTCATTACATTTCTGCAGCTCAGCCAGCTCCTTGTCTAGCTTTGAAATCTACAGAAACACAGACGACATACACATCAAAGTTTATTCACTCAAAATACACTCGCCTACGACTGAGTTATCTTGATTCTAATAATGTGATGATGCAAAAATATGTCTTGATGGTTCCCTCATCATTGTCACTGTCACTGACATCACAGTAGCTTCGTCCATCATTTATACAGTCTATGCATCTTACAAAGGTGCACACACATTATCATATACAGTGGACAACTCATGAACGTGCACTCAGAGCACAGGCACACAGTCACGGAGCTCGCTGAAGAATGCTGCGTCCTGCAAAACCACACCCATCTGGGTGAAATACAAGTTTTTAGGGAGCCCCGTAACCAAACACCTGCAAAGCTAATGACAATTACATTCCCTTTAGGCTGAGCTAATGTTGTGTGCTAATTAGCAAATGTTTATGCTAAACCAAGATAGTGAAGACAGTCAACACAAATGATTTCTTCTGCACAGTGATAAAGTTGGCAGGTGTAGCTTGGCAGAAAGAAAATAGTTCCTTCATAAAACTGCTCACAACAAGGTCTGTGGATTATCTTGAGTAACATGTGCATGATTTCTGGAAAGAGACATTGCTGTTGAGTTTTTTAAATGTATTTTTTTGGCACTTTGAGGACCACGAGCTGAGTGCCATCTAGTTTCATTATATTGGGGAGAAGGCAGACATCTCTATGGTCGATATCTCCAACACTCCGTAACTCACACCAAAACAATTTAGATTGACAAATACAGGTCAGAGGAAATATGTGAACTGGCCCTTTAAGTATTCCAACCAACCAGACCTACACATATAAAACAGGTTCCTTTACTTATACTAAAGTAAAGCAGGAGCATCCCTGCCCCCCTCCCCATGTCGGACGGCTGTGGTGTCCTGCCGTGAGTAATTACAGCAATCACAGAAGTTCAACAATTAGCTGTCACAGCCAGATGGGGATCCAGGCGGTCGTGCTCGTCTTTCAACGAGATCATGTGAGCAGAGGAAGACCTGGTTACAACTCAGAGGCTGATGATGACTCCCAAACCTGGTCAAGTCACTTACTCCCACTCCGCTCTCCCTGGCATGATGAGTGAGGTCTGGCCCGTGTGCAAGTAGTGGCGTACAACCCCATCAGCGGCTGCTCTATTATATACATTTCTGCGTCAGGGCTGATTTCACTGCAATCTGTTTGTTTGGCCATGTTGTGTCTCAGCGAGAAAGCAGACCCGAGGCATCCATCACAGGCGAGAGAGGAAACAGAGCAGATCAGGCCGTGCTGTTCATCCGTCAGGCTGGATTGAGCAGAACTGGGGATTGTGAGCTGCATATTAGAGACAAGTAGATGATGTTGGGAGTTGTGCTGTGGTTACAGAGGCTCAGTGTTTACTTAAAGAGCTGGAGGTAGAGCTGCAGCCACAGTAATGAGAACCAAACCACCATGTTTGTTACAGATGTGGTCCGGTGTCGGCTGCGGTCTGACCACTGATGGATGTTGAAGAGACTCATGTGAAGGGAAGAGGAGGTAGTTACTGGAGTCACTTGGTGATTTTACCTGAGTCATAATTTCCTACTTCGACTCTTTATTGATGCCTCACTTTGCTTTTTCATTCAGAGCCTTCTTGCTTTCATTTTCCTGCCGGCTGGATGAGAAATATCAGATGAAGGTTTATTTCCTCTCCTCCATTTGCAGAGGAAGTCTCCAGTCAGTGTGTGTGTGTGTCAAGTTTTTAAGACGTTTATGACGCTGCAGGCGCTCTGAAAGACTGTACTTAATAACTGAGGACACGGAGGGCAATAAATCCTGTCTGAGCTGAAGCCGAGCCCTTCACATCTCCCGCTGAAAGTGTCCGCAGAGTAAACACTCTGGTCAGCAGGATCTCCCACACTGTTGCTCCGCTGTCACTCAGCTGCTCCCCTCCTTCTTCACCCGCTGTGGGAAACCATTCATTTTCACCATTATGTCTGATTTAGGAGCTGATGGCCGACGCAGAGCCAGTTGCGGGTTCTTTTCTTTGTCAGTAAAGAGATGGAAAATGTGTTGTGGGAAGATCTGAATCAGTAGACTGGAACTGAAGGATTTTAAATGATGTGTAAATGTGACACTAAAAGGGTCAGTTCACTCCCCAAAAATACATATTTTATTCGCAGCAAGACAGTTTGGGTTTTATTTACAGGAGTTTCTGAGTTTCAGTTTCTGAGACTTATACTTTATACTACATTGTCCTCCTTACTCTGGATAATCTAATCTAACCCAGTCAATAATTTTCATGGGGAGTATTTCTTGTAGCAGCAGTTCATCATTTTGGGAAATATGCTTTTACACTTTCTAACTAAGAATTACATGAGGAGATTGAAACCACTCTCATAATGTGCAAGACAACAACAACTGAATTTAAGAAAGTGATTGCACCCAACCAGGAAATAGTCTGACACATATCTCGTCCTTGAACCCCAACTTGTCATTTTTACACTTCTCTTTTGTTCAGATGAAACAAACGACATAGAAAACAATATTTAGTGAGCTTTAGGGGTGCTGCTAGGCTGATTTTGTTATCTTTGGACAAAGCTAGGCTGGCTGTTTTCATTTTGAGTCTTGGTGCTAAGCTAAGCGGGTTGTAGCTTCATATTTAGTGTCCAGGCAGAGCGACATCAATCTCTCTTCCTAATGCTCTGCAACGAAGCTAATAAAAGTTCTTCCAAAATCTGAACCACCCTTCAAGGCTGAAACTTACAGCTGCACTTACACAAACACAAACAGGGATCATTTGGAGACATTTGCATGGCAGTTTCTTTTATATTTGTATATACAACTTATTGGTATACTATGTAGAATTATCTTAAAAATCAATGTGTAGTACAGAAGTAATCCCTCTCAATCATCACTTATGACCGACTGGAAGTGTGTGGCAGTGTATTTATCTGCAGAGACTCTCTCCTCTGCCTGTTTTTTGCCTTTTTTGTTTGAGAGATGACAGTGAAGAGGCAGATTGGAAATGGGGGAGACAAGAGTATGACATGCAACAAAGGTCCCCATGCTGGAATATGCAACATTGAAGTTATGTGGCATGTGCTGTAACCACTTGGCCGCCAGTGCTCCCTGCTAGATTATTAAGTTTGAATATAATGTTTAAAAACAGTAACTGACTATTCTTGGATAGTATACCTTCATATATATAACTTTAAAAAAAAATTCTTCGCTCTTTTGAAGCTATCACCCAACAGGAGTTGAATTAACCAATCAGCTGATTCAGCCACAGGTCGTCACAACGTGTTGGTGAGATTTTCAAAGTCTGCATGGCAGAAATCTGAGAGAAGTTCATCTAAGTATCTTCGCAAGTAAAACCAGATCCCAAATTTGCCTTAATGGAAGCACTTTTTTCATGTAATTTGGGTGAACTGACCCTTTAAAACCAGCGGTGAGCTCACTCACCAGCATCTTAATCTCACTGACGTCCTTTATCTTTGACAGGTCTTTGACTGTTGACCCCGCAGCTCCTCCCGCTTCCACTTGTTTTCCATCACCACGGTGAACCCCAGCGGAGGAGGCTGCACCACACTCGTACTGCAAAGACAGAAGAAGAGGAATAAGTGCAGACTGTGGGGGATAGTGCTTTCTTTTGGGCATTTAAGTACACTTTGACAGGGGAGCACAGAGCAATCAGAGCCTCTCGTAGCGGCTGATGGTTAAAGCTCTACTTATGTCCACCACATTCCTGATTAGATGGAACAAATGCAGCCCAAACGAGCAACATGAGGGTGCACAGGTGTGTGGGAGTCAGCCAGCAATCACCATTACTGTTCAAACCCAATAGCAATCATATTTTAGCATCGAGACAATTGCATCTCGTAATCGAGGCCAGGCAGACAGGACGGTGTCCAGCTGGCGAGAGAAGAGACTGAGTGGGAGGGAGACAGAGGGAATAGACGGGGTTTGGGGGAACAAGAAACACACCTACGCATCCAGACAGACACACAAATATATAAATACCTTGTATACCCTTCAGCCATGCCTCTAAATGAAGGACACACACACACACACACACACACACACACACACACACACACACACACGCCAGCGTCCACTCCAGTGCTGCCGAGGAGCCTGGGAAGGCGGCCAGCAGTCTGATTACAGCCCTGACCTCTGAACTGGGCAGACATCCTCGCCCCAGAGGGGGTCAGACCCACCGGAGCTGTAGTCTGACCCCAATACAACACGTCTTCCCTTGCACTACACACACACACACACATATACACTCAGATAGACAAAGTCGTTCTGTTCGGGTCCAGTTCTGCACCTCTGATTCTCAAGTTCTGCCCCGCTGTTTTGTTAAGAGGGAAAGAAAACAAGAGGGAGTATCGTCGTGTGATTTGTGAAAGTTGAGATTTACATCTGGACCTGACGGAGACGTTTCAGAGGGAGAGGGAGGAGGTGATCGGTGGTCAGTGTGAGGATGAGGATGGCAGTCTGTAGTGGAGGAAGTACTCAGATCCTTTAAGTTAAATAAAAGCAGAAATAAATCAATTTAAAGATACTCTAACTAAATGTACCGAAGTGCGAAATGTAAAATTTCTTACTCTGCAGAAACATGACCCGTGTCACTGATATATTATTATGACATTATTAGACTCTTAATACTGATGCGTCAAATGTGAAAGTGTTGTAGCTGGTCGAGGTTTAACAAGTGCTTCTTTATACACAATTAAGTAGTTAAGTCCAGTGGGTGCTAACCAAGGGGTCCCTCCCCTCCAGAGATAAATCTGGGGGATCATGAGATGATTAATGGGGAAGAAAACGCAAAGTTTTACTCAAGCGGCAAACTCTGAGGCTGAAAATTAAGCCAATGTGCCAAAAAAAAAGCAGTTTCTCTAATGTAGTTTCTCCAGAAAGCAATAAATCCTAATAGACCTCCATGTTAAAGTGCCGAAATTTACAGCAGAAATAAATATTTTACAGCCTGGCACAAAAATGGTTTTAGTCTCTGTAGCTAATTTCCCCATTCATGACAACTGTACAGGGGTGATTTTTGTCTACATTTTATTAAGGCTTTAAGTTATGTATAATTAAGGGAGGGCAGCTTGAGTGACAGATCCATCCCTCCCTCCTCCACAGCTCCATCCCCTCATCCAAATATGGTCCCTTCCGGCTCCAAAATACCAAGAAGTGAAGTTCACAAACCAATGTGTGACATCACCGTAGCTACGCTCATTATTTTATACAATCTATGGTTCTGCTTCACAAGTTTATATCCATTTTTGTGGACTTCTCTCAAACGTGTTGGTAATGGGTAATTTTGACATCTGTGCTACCATGTGAGGAGTTAAGAGGGTTTGCGCTCTTTGCTGCAAATGACAGCTCATGAAGTGGTTTTCCATCCACCAGTTTTTTTGACCCATTTTGTTGAAAAGTTGGTGCACCTATAAAAACAAAGTGTGACATTGTCCAGTGGAACTAGACATTGGAAATTAATCAAAATGTGACTTAAACATCCACTGAAGAGATGGAAAATAGCAGAAAACAATATCAGATCTGAACGGAGCGATGAAGAGACTGTAACCTTCCTAAAATTAATAAATATAACAAATGTAAATGTTGTATTTACATCACAATTACTACATTGTTTTTCCACAATTTGAGGTTTAAGTGGTGCTCTTTTAAATATATTAGTTCCTTGCTCCCTCATTTTCTGCATAATTTAAGAGCACACGACTGGAGAATTAGCACCAACAGCGGTTTATCTCGATACATTCCACCCCTTATATTCAGTAGTTAATGGAAACATTTATTAATTCACATTGTACTGCTGTTTTCTGGTAGTAATTTGTAGTAAATTTGGGTGGAAATCTGACTACAGACATCTGCCCAACCAGCCGGGGCTTCTCTGTAAAGGGTCACGAGTGCAAAAAGGTTTGAAAACACTTGTTTAATCATTAACAAGTTATTGTATAAATGTTTCTTTTTTTTCTGTGTAAAATCTGAAACTGATAAATAACTTGTATTTCTAGCTGTCAGATAACAGATACAATATTTCTCCCTGAGTCATGAAAGTGTGAAATGGAAATACGATACTTTATAATTGTACTGAAGTACAGTACGTGAGTAAATGTACTTTGAATTTCCACCGCAGGTATGTATGAGGTTTGTCTGACTCCATTCCTGAACATGTCAGTGTTGCTCAAGGAGAACTAAAGCAGGAGATATCATTGTTGTGTTTCTACAGATGAACACGGACATGCTGCTGTAAAGGATCTGAAACATAAAAAGGCTTCATGACTTCATGTTTGTGTGTGTTATGCTGCGGTGTGTCGTACCTGGAGGCTCTCAGCCAGCTGGCAGTAGTACTTCTTTACATCCAGGGCCGGAGTGATGTCAGGGCTGCCAAATTTAATAGCTGCCACCGCCCCTGCAGTCCCTTCAGCCGGCTCCAGCAGAGTCTCCACTGCCTGCTCGTACACACCACACATACAAACACACAGTGGGGAGGTGCATTCACATCCTTTACTCAGTGGTCAAATGTAACTCAGGACATTTCTTCAAGTGTTGTACTTAAGTACTATCTGAGGTACTTGCACTTTACCTGAGTATTTCCATTTTATGTTACTTCATACTTCGACCTCACAACATTTCAGAGGGACATCTTGTGCTTTTTACTCTTCTGCTAGTACATTTCGATAATGACACTTTCGGTAGTTACTATGCAAACAAATGACCCTTGTGAGTGTTTTGGGCCCAAACACACCAAGCCGACAGTTGGCTGCTTGTCAGTGTCAGGCCTTCAGTGAGTGTTTGTCACCCTGGTTTTTGCAGTGTGTCCTGCACTGTTGGCACTAGACGGCCCCTGTCTGCTGTTTTACAGCTAATTCAGCAGGATGACTTGGCGCTGGAGGCGGCGAAGTCAGTCGGTGAATAAAATCACCCTGATTGACAGTTCAGTGTGAGAGAAGAGAAATGGAAGTGAGGAAGGCAAACAAACACTTAAGTCCCACGTCGGGCTGTGTTGTTGATGTGCTAACTGGCTAACTAGCATCTTGAATCCGTTCTGTTGGTCTTCCAGTTTTCCCTTTTTGAATGAAGAAGTCAGACTACCACTGCCTGCTGGTATGGACAGTTATTCCTTCTCACACAGACGCAGAACGTACACGCTACTTGGACGTTGATTGTAGTCTTTGCAGTGTGTTCAAGCGCAACTTTGTGGCCGAGACAGGCAACATGAGGCCTTCGTTGCCACTAGTTTTTTGATGTTGGTAAAGGCTCGGACACACCAAACCGATATCAAAGACCTAATGGTGATAAAGGCCTCATGTTGCCCGTATCTCAGCCATGAAGTTGCGATCATACCGCAAAGACTACAGTTAACTGCTAACTAGCATGTACACGCCTTAGAAGAAAATAACTCCATACCAGCAGGGGGCGGTAGTCTGTAATTGTCATTCAAAAAGGGAAAATGGAAGACTGACTGGACAGATTCAAGATGCTAGGTAGGGTCTTGGCACATTAACACACAACCTAACAAGGGGACTTGAGTTGTTTGCTCCCCTCACTTCTGTCTCTCTTCTCATACACTGAGCTAAACTGCCAATCAGAGTGAAATACAATTTATTATTGGTAATGCATTAATGTGTAAGTAACATTTTCCAGTTGCAGGTAGATCACATACCCTGTTGAGTGGTTTTATCTATAACAATGCATCATATTTTATCAGCTCATCCTGTGTATTCCATGTTAAATCTTAATTTGTAATGTAACTAGTAACTAAAGCTGCCAAATAAATAACATTGTAGTGCAGCAGAAGTGGCATAAAATGGAAATAGTTAAGTGCAAGTACCTAAAATATAAACTGAAAAATACTCCACCTCTTCTAACACAAAACATATCAAAGACCTGACCATACTTGTCTTCAGCTTCCAATATGTCGCCCCTTTAGTACAAACCCGACATCCATTACAGAGAAAATGAACTGTTACAGAGCTGCAGTGGCAGTCTAACATTTTTCTCCCTTCCCCTCCACCTAAATAACGACATGGCTGCCGATTTGTCAGGGGACTGTAGGGTATCTGGAAGTGCTGATAATAACAACAGTTAATAAAACAAAGGGAACTTCTGTTTTCATTTGGTATTCAGCTGCATTTCCTGGACTGTGAGTTATCGAGCGTGGCCCAAAGGGAGTGTGTTAAACGCCGGGCAGCCCGGCTCTGCAGAGAAAAACACAGTGTGATGGAGCTGGTCCTGCTTCAGCTGCCTCCTTCTCTCTCTCGCTCTCTCTGCCTACAGCCTCCAGATCTGATACTGGGGCACGTCTGTCATCTCCTGGCGATGTGGAGAATATTGTAGAAGGTGCAGAGAGCACGTGTGTGAGGATGTGATAAAGGTAATGATGTGCATTGGATATGGTTACATACATGTCTCTATGTTAAAGCTACTTTGACATTTTGGAATATCAGGGTATTCACTTTCTTGTGGAGAGTTACATAAGAAGACTGAAGATTAAATGTGATTCACCTTGAATCATATGTGTTAAGTTGATCTTTGAGTTTATTAACCCCAAACAGCCAATATACCAACTGTACAGATGTTAGCTGTAAGCTAGTGAGCAACAGGCAGTGGCGGCAGTAGCTCAGTCTGTGGTGACCTGGCATGAAAAACCAGAGGGATGATGGTTCAAGTCCCCTATATTGACCAAGTATGGACCCCCAAACTGCTCCAGGGACCCTGCGCTACTTCTCTAAAATGCATGTGTGTGGTACGCGTAAAAGGAGGGATATGTGAAGAGATACATTTCAACGGCCTTGTTTAAAATTGCCTCGTGTTAATGGACGAGTAAAGCATCTTTCTTTTTCTTTCTCTCACCAGACACACTGACCATGTCTCTGGGAGTGTGTTTGTGTTCAGCTCAGCCCGACTGATCTCAGAACTCACCGGAAAGGTTCTTTCTGTTATTTCACTTCAGTTGTTCTCCCTTTTCCTCTCATCTCTGCGTTTATGAGGCGGATGCATGAAGCTCCAGGATACATGTACATATTTTGCTTAAGTTGAAACATTTTTAACTTGTGAGTACACATCTTTGCATCAATCTCCGTTTTTCCATTTACTTGCATTTATATGCATTTGCACCTTGTCTAAAATTCATGTTATGCCTGAATGCACAATGAGGCTACAGCCAGCAGGCGGCTATTTTAGCTTAGCACAAAGACTGGAAACTGGAAAACAACTAGCCTGGCTCTGTCCAAAGGTAACAAAATCAATCTACCAGCACCTAACTAACATATCACATATCATTTGATTAATCTAAACAAAAACAAAGTGTAAAAATGTCAAATTGTGGTTTAATGGTGGATTACGTGCTGGATTTCTTGGCCAGGAACTGCGACTTCCTGGAGTCTGACAAGAAATAGTCCAGCATATAATCCCCTGAGTACCTATTCAACAAATTAGATATACTGTGTCAATGAGTGAGCTTTGAAGATGCTGTTAAACAGATTTTTCTAACCTCTAGGCAGTACCAGGCTAGCTGTTTGTAGTTTTTGTGCTAAGCTAAGCTAACCAACCTCTGGCTGCAGCTTCATATTTAACTGACAGATGTAAAAGTGGTGTTGATCTTCTCATCTAACTCTTAGAAAGAAAGCAACTTAAGTGTATTTCCCAAAATGTCAAAATACTCCTGTAAAGGGACGGTGTACCCCCAAATCAAAAAATATGTATTTTTCCTCTTACTTGTCGCACTATTTATCAGACTAAATTGTTTTGGTGTGAGTTGCTGAGTGTTGGAGATATCAGCTGTAGAGATGTCTGCTTTCTCTTTAATATGTTGGGTGAGCTGTCCCTTTAAGACATGGGACTAAGGATTTAAATGACCACTGAAATTTAACATGACTTGTTGCATGCCACACTAGATTACTTTTTTTTTTGTTTTATCTTCCCCCCATATATATTTCTGTTGACAGGTCTGCTCCTGGCTCTCCAGCAAGGTGACCGGGGTCATCACAGCTGTGTTTGTCACTACAGGTCTGGGCATTTCTCCAACATTCCCGTCTGACCTAAGTGCTACATTTCGAGTCATTTTCATGGCTATAAACAATTCCTGTTTCATCACGCTGCATCCATATATCCTCTCTCTCCCCCTCACCGTCGTGTGCTGGGCCTCCATGTTGGCCAGCTGCTCCTCGTAGATAGCCACTTGCTCCCTCAGCGCCAAACACTCTGCTGCCACAGCATCGACGTCCTGCAAAGAAAATCAAATTAACAGAGAACAAGGCCTCAAGTAGAGAAGTTTAACTTTATTTTTTGGAGGTGTCTGAGAGGCATGCTGTAGTTTGTGCTGTAAATCACACCACAGGTTGATGGAAAGTAGAGAAAGGCTTTGTTTCCACGCCGAACAACCATTTTAGTACTATCAGCTCCAGCACATCCACCTGTTTCACTGAACAGCAAGTAGACACCGCAATGCAGAGGAAGGGGGAGGAGGAGGAGGAGGAGGAGGAGGAAGAAGATCAGAAGGAGGCTAACTAGACACAAAAGCCCTGTCCACCAATCCATCTGCCAGCAGGGGTTCTCGGCTCATCTACTCTTTTTAAAGAACCAGATTAATTGGGGTTGGATGCAATTACTGTGGGTGCCTGCATTTACATTTGGACACATGCAGAGAGAGTTTGGTGGTGAAGTTTTGGAGCCTTGCTGGGAGGGTGGCAGCGTCCTTGATGGACAGCAGTAAGCAAAGGTAGTGTCGTTCTGCTGCTGCTGCTGCCTGTGCTCACATATCTGCCAGCAGCTTGGGAGAAACTTGTTGTTAATCACATTCTGCTGAAACTTTAAAGCAGCATTAATTGATTTTTGGCCTCTTAGGGGCAACAGAAAAAGCTGTAAACACAACACTGACAGATTAGCACCTTATAAAGTTCATTTGGCAAGCGCAGGGAAACAGTTGCCTATTTTTAGCACCCAGGGGAGCAACATGAGAGTCCGGTTTCTGTCCACCTGATGAATTAAAGTCCAATATCAGCTCTCCTTTTAGCTCTGTTTTGGTTTCCACCAACTTCTAAAGGAAATATCTGTCTCTTTTCCTGCTAATTGCACCACTATGATCACCAGCTTGTCAATAACAACGTCAGTCAGCTGTTTGGTGTTGATCAGGTAGTGAACAGCTGCCGGAAATCGAACAGAATTGTCAGCTTGTTACACTCCGTTTCCATCTTCAGTCTTACATTGCCTCTACTCCATCCGATGTTTGTAGAAGAGGGGGATTTGATTTTCCCTGACTAATCCGTAGAAACAAAGCAGCAGCCTTCAGAGCTGAAAAATGAAGCCAATGCGGAAGTGCTAAAACTGCAGTTCCTCTAATGGCCACTTGAGGCCGGCTCCAGAAACGAGTTAATCCCCATAGACCCCCATGTTAAAATGCCAAACGTGACAGCAGGAATAAACACGTTTACAACCTGGTACAAAAAACGGTTTTGGTCTCTATGGCTAATTTCCCTGTTCATGAAAAACTGTACAGAGGTTTTTACATAAGTTCCCCGTTAACATTTTATTAAGGTTTAAAGTTATGCCTTGTCAAGGGCATGACTGCTTTCAGTGACAGGCTGTCTGAGAGACGACACTACGGTCTTTGAGTCAGATCCACCTCTTGACACTTCTATGTCCACTTCTGGCTTCAAAAAACCAAGATGGTGACGACTAAAATGCTGAACTTGAGGCTTCAAAATGGGAGTCCAAAAACCAATGGGTGAAGTCACGGTAGTTGCCGACACTGATGTGTAGCCATGAAAAAAAACTGGTTTGGGGGTCTTAAGAGTGGATTGGCGCAAAGTAAAACAAACTAGAATGTCAGGCAATATTAAGAAGAACTGCTTTTTCGGTGTACAGCTTGATGATGCTTCATAATGTTGTTAGTCCCACCTGTAACGCTGATTGACTAACCTGTGTGCTCATTGGATCAAATGCTTTTTCAACTGAGAAACCTTTGTTTCATGTTATGATGCCGGACGAATCAGTCACCTCGGTGGTGTGGGTGAAGGTTTGGACCCGGGCAAAGTGTAATTGGATCTTTCAGATTTGTTAATGAAAATGAAGCTGATGAATGTGATAAGAGGGAACCAAAACATTAAAGCTGTGGGCCGTAAAACAGAAACGGCGACTGAATAGCGCCCAAGTCAAATCTAAAGTATTTTTCCATAACTTTAAATATTTGTTACTAATGATGCAAAAATCTAAGTTAAAATCCTGATAAATAACTTTAGGGCCTGTGTCCACAAAGCATGTTCTTCTGAGCATCAGCGTCTTTTTTTTCAATTGTTCTCAATGCATAGAGTGTATGTGGTCACCTTGAGAAACAGAGCGCTCCAGCTTTTTTGTGTGGCCACTCTGAGCACTTCTAGTTGAAAATCTATTTATGGCAGTTGGCAGTTGCTGGTAAGTGTTGTGCTTTAATCCCAATAAGAGTTGTTAGCTTGTTGTAAACTGTGTAGTCAACCCTCTGTTAACGTAGTGTTACGTTAGCTACAAGCTAATTTTCCTGCCAAGATATTGTTGCCATAGCATCACTACCTGCATAGCACATCACTACATACATTTTTTTATGAACCTCTGGGAAAAAGCACTCCCCGGTGCCTGGCACCACTTTTCTAAACACTATGTGGTCACAGGCCCTTAGATATTATTTATAAACTGTTTAACAGTCAAAACGTGAGCTAATCTGCTTCATCGGGTGTGTTTTGGTCAAATGGCCCACCAACTGTCATCAGATTATGATGCAAATGTTGCCAAATACTGACTGTTGTATGTGACATCACCTTTTTCCAACAGAGCCCTGCCCCAATGAAACCCAATGGAAAAAACATGCAGAAAAACAAATTTCAGAAATCTGTCATGTAAAATAACCACTTCTGCATATAACAGAGTGTCTGCGTAGAGTCGGACCCGTCACTTACAGTTAAAAGCTGATTGATTAATTAAGTTTTGGTCTCCTTAACATTTAAAAATCCAGTGTTATTATACTTATATACTATTATACTACCCTGATGAGGACCCTGTGAGGTCGAAAGCAGAAGGCGTTTTAACCGACATGCCTGACTAAATAAAGGCTTTAATAGAACTTCTCTCCCTGTTCTGCTTAAGAGCGCGTGAAGAACATTTTCTTTTCTGTGACCTTTTTTTTTGTTCCCAGCACTTACTACTGTACTTATGAAACAGACTGAGCACCCGGCCTCCTCATTCATCCATTACTTATAACTGTATTTTAATTCTGGTGAATGTTGTTGAACTCATTTCACTTGAGCAACTGTGTTTAATTGCAGCCAGCTAGTCTGGCAACTCAAGACACTACTGAAACAAAATGTTAAAATGAATGTGAGACAACAAAGAGGGGGACTTTGTAATAAAAAAAGTGGAGCAGAACTGGCACGAGAGGCATCGCAGTAATCAGTTGTATACTTTACAACAAACCAACATGTCTTGTTTCATCTCTGTCAGTGTAGCATTATGTTGAGAGGACTGCAGCTAGCTGTGGGTTGAGCTGTGCAGTGTTCGCTCCTCTCCTCCGCATCTCTGCTCTTCCTCTACCTCCCTGTCGGTTTCCCACCAAGTGTTGTCACCCTGCAGCTGCTTCCAATTCAGAACCAGAGAACTGAGCCAGCAGGAACATTACGGCACCATATTACAGCCTGCATTACATCTGTAAGGGAGAAATTAAAGCCTCCCTCGCATCTGGCCCGGCTGGGAGGAGATGGGCTCTGGCATGTGTGAGGGAGGGAGGATGGGGGAAGGGGGTATGTGGAAAAGTTGGTGGCTCAGGTTGCAGTGGGCCACCAGCCCAGACTGTGTGACTGCTGGTGATCAACACCCATTGGGTAGCGCTACAGAGGAGCAGCTGTGCAGAGTTTCAGCTGATTCACCAAGAGGCCTAGGGGAGGAGGAGGAGGAGGAGCAGGGAGAGGCTAGTCAACACTGCCATCTAGTGCTGAAGGGACATTATCACAACTGTGGGCTGGTAACGGGAAGCACAATGTAAGAACAAAGGTTTTATGCACAGACACAAGTGACTGAATTTGACATAGAATAATTGGTTTATTTTAGTTTGGAAGACATGAGGATTTATCAGACACGACAGTCTAACAAAAGGTGCCACATACGAGGGCAGGGATACTCAACTTGCTTTACCTGGGGGCCACCTTTGCAAAATGACAGGAGGCCAGGAGCCAGTTAATGAACAAAAATGAAGTATATTTATCAGTATACATAATAGATGAGTTGTCTGTTTTCAACATTTGGTATCCTCACCCATCTTTGCCAAGAGGCATATTCAGTTGCATCGGCCCTGCACAGGTCAGGTGTACACAGAGGCGTTTCTAGGATTTTAGGACATTCAAGGTTTAGCCCAGACCCCTGTCAGCTTTTTTTGTTATGCTTTTTTATGTACTATGGCACCTTATTTAAATTCAAAGTAGAAAAGAAAATTCCCAGTGTGAATAAATGTATTTAATAAGTACTGCTAAGAAGTAAGTGTTTGTTGGCTTTAAATCTCTGCAGCGGGTTTAATTTATAGAGCAGACTTTTTAAATTAACAAGATATAAACGCAGGCTTTATGAACTCCAACTTAAGGGATCCTTCTGTAAAAAATGTGATCAAAAGTTATTCCTATTTCTAAGTTTTAATGATTTATTTCTTGTCTGTAAAGACGTAATAAATAGACAGTCATTGGTTTAGAACCCCTTTATGGATATCACTTTAGTATAGATCTTGGTATACTTTTATTACTTTAGTTTTTATTACTAATTTCTGTGGTATGATACACCTATCAGCCAAAATATTAAAACCACTGACAGGTGAAGTGAACAACATTGATCATCTTGTTACAATGCAATGTTCTGCTGGGAAACCTTGGATCCTGGCATTCATGTGGATGCCACTTGACGTGCTCCACCCACCGAACACCTTTGCAGACCAAGTACACCCCCTCATGGCAATGACACTCCTCCAGGACAATGCGACATGCCACACTGCAAAAACTGCTCAGGAATGACCCCAGGAATGGGACAAAGAGCTCAAGGCATTAACTTGACCTTCAAATAACCCAGATCCCAATCTGATCGAACATCTGAGGAATGTGTGGTTACCCCAGAGGTAGCCTCGATCCACAGTGGGTCCTCCTTGGATCAAACTTGACTCTCACCTGTCAAGGCATGGACACAGGACCTCTGGAGGCTGTCCTTTGGTGCCTGGCATCAGGGCGTTACTTTCAGATCTTTTGAGTCCCGTGGGCTGTGAGGTGGAGTAACAGCATGTCCCACAGACATTTGATCAGATTGGGATCCAAGGAATTTGGAGACCAGGTCAACGCCTTGAGCTCTTTGTCTCTTTTCGGTGTACTCTCTAGTGCATTTTAATTTTGTTTTGTTGTAGGGAAACTCAGAGTGTTTCTAAATCCTGGTTACAGGGCTGACTCTCACTAACTTGTCATTTGTCTTCAGGTTTGGATGGTGTTGTATTTTCAGCTGTTACCTCAGCAACATCTTGTCGTCCCTGCTGCAGGAGGGTCCTCTGCTGTGCAGCCTTCTCATACTCGTTCATCAGACGTTCCAGTTCGTTCTGCAGCTCCTCAGTGTGACACAGAATCTCATCCTGCGGGGAGACACAGTGAAGGATGTCAAGGTTATAGATCAGTGCTGCCTGTCACTGTACAAACTGAAGTAAAATTGATGGGATGGGATGAGGAGTGAGATGGAGTGGCGATGAGAAAACCCAATTTAGGAATGTCACACACACAGAAACATGCAGCAGACACACCCAACACTAGCAGCAGCAGCACCCTACCCTCTCCCTGCGCAGTCTTTCCACCACTGCATCCAGACTGTAGTCAGGCTTTGCCACAGCAGAGGTGATGCCGGAGGAGGCTTGTCGACTTTTCAGCTTCTCTTCTAGTTCAGCAATCTGACATTCAAGAGACTCATTCTCCTCCTCGAAACAATGGGCCTAAAGGGTACAGAGACAGACAGGTGCATACTGTGAATATAGCTTCAGTGCTTCATTCACTAAGAACAAAGGCTTGACACCACTGAGAGAAAAGAAAGTGCTGATGTGTCATTGGGAGCAGTAAGAGTTTGTCCTCACCAGTTCAATAAGCCTGACCAGGCGGTCATTGAGGGCAGCGATGATGGTGCGGTCCTCGATGAACCGACTCAGACCCTCCTTGGTGAGCTCCTTGGCAGCCACAAAGTCTAACTTGTCACAGTCGCACTCATCAACAGCCGCACCCCTGAGATGACACAGAGCACCAAAGACTGGACTGGATTTTGAATGATCCTTGAGGGAGATCATTTAATCGGCCTTCAGGAACAGAGGGAAATTAGATGGAAATTTTTCCCATTTCGAGAGAAGCAGCACAAAAAAGACTGACGACACTACCCCGTTGTTCTTTAAATGCTTCAGAGCATACTAGGCCTCATCCGTCATGGTACATGATGTAATTATTTCCATGAGCATGAAAGGCATTTGTCATCAGCATCCAGGAAAACCTGCCATAACATGTTAACTCTAAGAATCACACACTGGGATTGATGAAGTCAGACCCCAAATATTTGGTTTTGGTCAAAAACATCTTAAAGGGACTTAAGTATTTTTCAACCTGGACCCTCTTTTCCCTATTCATCCAGTACAGACAGGCTGCAGTCCAACCAATTAGAGCATGTTTGCACTGTCAATTTACGTCCACTCAAAGTGCTTGTTTTTGCCACTGACTTGCTCACATTGTTATTTTAGGTGTCTGACAACTTATGGAAAGGATCCCTACAGAGGTAGACTTTTTTGTTATGGAGCAAGATCATTTTTGTTTAACCAGAAATAGCCCAGAAACGTTATTGCCAAACCCACCAGATTCCATTTAAATAAACATTGATTTTATAATCATAAAACGCACCTCATTCAAAGTCGACAGTAACAAAATAAAACTCACAAAAGCTGGCATGGTTCATCTCTCAACTGTTCCAACAATCACCAGCTCTGGTTTGACTGAAATAAACCTTTAATTCCCCCGGGTTAGATGTGAAAATATGCTGGATCTATACACGCTAAAATTACTGGTAATGTAAATGGAGTCTGGTGTGTTTGGCAATAGCGATTATGGGGCTGTTTTAGGTTAAAAAAAGATCTTACTCTTTAAGAAAAAGGTCTATCTTTACAGGATCCTTTCCATAAGTTGTCAGACACAATAATAATTTGGGTCTATCAGTGGCAAAAACAAGCGCTTTTAGTGGACGTAAACCGACAGTGCAAAGTTACTCTGAGTGATTAGATGCAGCCCTCTCACTCCATACTGAAGCAGTCTGGTCACTCAAACACAAAAACATGGGAAAATAGGGTCCAGGTTTAAAAATAAAGTTAAATTCTACATATTTTTAAGTGTGAAAACACTTAATATTTTAAAGCTGGTGGTAACTACACCCCAAATCCTGAGGTCACTCGGCACCCAGAGACCCACACTGACCTGACAGAGGCCCTGTACTGCGGCGCACACTGCATACTCAACCCTCCATTCCGACTCCAGCTATCATCCTCAAACAGCTTGCGGTAAGACGACACTCGGAGCATGGCCATGGCTTTGGGTGGGTTCAAACTGAGCAACAACACAATAGGCAAATAACGGCAGCAGGTCTGGGGCGGGGGTTTTATATTCACAGGGAATGAAAATGTAACAGTGAGGTGAAGGATCTCTCAGCGGCCACTGAGTAGACTAAATATACCGCGAACATCAGCCAGTAACAATCTCACATGTGCATGAGGAGTGAGCCCCAGAGACCACTACACAATTGTTTATCTAAATGAGAAGCTGTCAACAAAAAGACAAGTGTTGATGAGTGGGAAAACAAAAACAGCTTTGTACATAGTTTTATTTCTGTTAAATAAATTAAAAGCACCAAAAATCTTAGAAGTTGAAAACAGGTGCAAGTGTTTCCTCGTGTACCTTTTACACGTACCTTAATTTTATGAACAGATTGTGACAAAACTGAAGACAAGAAGCACAATGGATCCACACAAATACTTCAGCTGATACAGTGGCAGAAGACACTTAAAATCAGAGGTTACTGTTCATATTGATTTTGCGTTTGACATCATGAGGATAGTATTTCTGAAGACAAAGTGAATGAAGGAATGGCTAGTGTAAAATGGCTCTCCCAATTCTGAATCACCAGGAACTACTGCGTCAGGCCAAAGCCAGCGTTTGGCAAAGCTCGGCTTGATTGAGACCAACAGAGGAATCTAGTGTATTGATGGCAATAAGGCAGAATAAACCACGCAAGAATAGAGCAACTTCAGCCCGACAGGCATTTCTACGAACGCCATGATTGTCAGTGTTATCACATTGTCTCCAAACGTTTAATCTTCTGAAGTTCCTGCAACAACTCAGAAGAAAACTTCTGGGGTTTTTTCACCACATTACAGGAGCGAAGGGAAATTAATGTCATAAATGTGAATCTTTTTGTCGACTGGGAAAGATAATGCTGACATCTCTTGGGTAAAACGGTAAAAGAGGAAATAAGTGTTCATTATACACAGCAGAGAAGTTCCTTATTTCAATAACTGTGACATGTTTTGCAACAGCGACTGCAGAAAAAAAAGGTCCTCAGTGGCACAAATGAGAAAGGTGCACAAAGACAAGCTGTATCCTGCAGAGTAATGAGCCATTAAATCCTGCACCCAGAAAGTGCTGCATCACTTAAAGCAAGAGTATTACTCATCTGGGTATACCATGAGGAACACTGTGGCTGTGTCTTGGCATCACACAGGCCTCAAACAACGAAAAATGAGCTTTAAGATGCGGCAGAAGTGAGGAGAGAGACATGTAAACAAACACAGACATTAACAGTACCACCTTCATGACAAACAGGACACACCATCACAGATTTGCACCACTGTACCGACAGTCAAATACCCATGAAACAGGGAAACGATCACTATTTACAACCATTTAAGACATCGAGAACCACAGAGGGTGACTCTTCACTCGATTCCGGTTGACCAGGAAGTTAGTGTGTTAACAGACTTGTTTTGTAACTCAAGAGGAACTGGCAAAACGAGATGTAAGGCTCACGACTGGAGTCACGTAAAAACAGCATACATTCATCACAACACAGTTTTCTATAACAGGATGATAAAAACAAGCGATGAATATTTTAAAACCAATGCAGAGCTGAAAATAAACCATACTGTAGTGGGAACCAGGATCTGTTCACCTGGTGCAAACTTAGAAGTGACGTATAAATAACAGTTAAAATACAATGAGTATGGTAACAAATAGTTCTTGAAGATATCGATCATATTGTCCCCTCAGATAAAATGGATGATTGTCATGATTTATCTTAAGCTTAAACATTCTTAGTTATACATTTCCACAATTATCCCACTATCTAATGCTTTATACTTTATTCAGTCTACTTCTTAAAACTTCAGGAAGTTCCTTTTCTTTAGTGTAGTCGAGTCTTTCTCTTAGCATCTATGGATACATAGTGTTTTCACATTCATACCACTCACTTTTCTGGGGTTATTTTGGCATGAGCACCTACAATAAGAAGTGTCAGCTGAGGGCGACTCGTGTTTTAAGCCACAGGGCCTTTAGGTCATCAGAAAGTGCAAAGGCATGAGTTCAAACGTCTCCCAAGTGCTTCCCAATCCAGCGAGTGGTCATACTGTGAACAAAGTGAAGATATGACACTTGGTAAAATCATCACAGTTCTAATGGAAGTCTTGAGTTCCTCGAACATGAGAGTTTGTGAGAAGGTAGGGTGCAAAACGGCTGCACTGGTCTCCAGTAGATGACAAAACACCACACAGTGTCCTACAAGTCCAGGTCCTTTGCCAGCAGGAAGCCAGGTTGGGAATCAGCTCCGAACCCGGCTGACATCACGAGGCACCACTGACCTCGGTTACTCCTCGTCTCCTGCCATAAGGAAACCCAGGATGAAGTCGATGGCTTTCTGCCGGTCGAGTGGTGTCTGCCTGCCCATCAGGTTGGGTGGCGGTCGGATAAGGAGGCTGGCGAAGAGTGTAGCTAAAACACAGGACCAGGACAAAGAGGTAAAGAAAAAGAAAAAGACTTATTCTTCTATCAAGTAAACACAAACATTAAACATTTGTTTCTTAAAAACATTCACGTCACTGTAACCAACCCTTGTGACTGACTGACGCCCTGAACCATACCCTGCTGTACTGTCTATTTTACTCTGAATAATTGACAAAATGAAAATCATATTGTATTGAAGATGACTTTATAAACTCATTAGGGAAATATTTACTAAGGTAAAAAATCAAGTGAGAAGCAGAATCGTTTGCTCATAGACCTCAATACAGCAGACTTTTTGCAACCAGTGGAGTAGCCCCCTGCTGGCCATTAGAAAAAAATTCTGGTGTAAGGCACTTCCGCATTAACTTCACCTTTTTGTCCCAGTCATGTCCACTTCTATTATAGTCTTTGGTAAAAAATCCTTGACTAACAGAAAATTTTAGCAGCAGCAGCTAACATCCAACACCGATCTGTTTACCCATCCCAACAAACTCTCACTGACACCCAAACAGCTCGACTGAGTTGTTAAACCCATAAGGTAACGTTAGCAGTGTGATGCTAACGGTTAGCCAAGCCACTGTGTGTTTGAAGAGTGCGAGCTCCTCTCTGTGAACCTTGCACTCCTGCAGCAGTAGTGTCATGATAAATAGAGACAGAGAGAGAGTGGGGTAAGGAGGCACTGAGCGAAGCAATACACTACACACAGCTCTACAGTGAAATAAGATTTGACACATATTAAATAGTAAAAAACAAAAAAAGCTTTAAAAAAAACAATGTCTTTAAACAAGATTCGGATGGATGTCTGTATAACGAATTACATTTTTATCAAGGTATTGTAAAAGAGAAGTTTCTGTTGTTGACACCTTACAGGGATCAAATTAAATGATATTGTTACCCTGATAATAGATATTTGTTGGAAAATAAAACAAGCTCATACCCAACCACACGTACAACAAACCAGTTTACAATGGTCTTATGCATCTTCAGACATTGTGCTGTGTTGTCCAACTAAATGGAGACTGATATATATTATAAACAACAAACTGTCTGTTTAATGAGCTATAAAGTATAGTGAACATTAAGAAAGGAGGCATTAATTCGGGGCGTCGGTGGCTTAGTGGTAGAGCAGGCGCCCCATGTACAAGGCTGTTGCCGCAGCGGCCTGGGTTCGAGTCCAGCCCTTGGCACTTTGCTGCACGTCACTCCCTCCCTCTCTCTCCCCCCTTCACACTCACCTGTCCTGTCAATTAAAGGCTAAAATGCCCAGAAAAATATCTTTAAAAAAAAAAAAGAAAGAAAGGAGGCATTAATTTCTTACCTATAAGGCTGGCTGTTAGGTTGTTGTTGTGTGAGTGCTTGAGAAGTTCCTTCAGAAAGGCCATTAAGTAGCGAAACACGTTGCGATGAGCCCGGGGCAACTGCGAGATCAGCTGTCAAATGTAGACAAAGATTAGTCAGACATACACATTACTGTGCGCAGTACATGACATTGAAAAATCCTGTGATGATGCTGAGCTTCAACATAACCTGTCTGCACTCTTTTCCATATAGCTGCATGAAAAACACTTTAAAATTCATTCAAGACCATCGTTTTATTCAGGAGTTGCATTTGGATGGGGTAAAATTCAATTATCAGGGAGCATTTTGATTTGCTTCTGCCATATTTAACATAGACTGATATTTGTGGAGGAAAGGAGAGGAATCTCAATCAGCTGTGATTGGCTGTTTTTCGTCGCGTGACAAGTGGTGCCCGCTGCTGTGTTCCAAACGTTGAACTTTGTTTATCTCTAAGTGCAGCCACCATGCCATGAGAAACAGGTGCTGGGCAACACTTGTGCTTGTAAATGCGCCTTCTGTGTTTCTACACTGACAACAATAGATTTGAGGGAAGCAAAAACATGGCTTGTGCGAGGCCTTAAGAAAACAGAAAACAATGCCTCACTGGTATACATCATACGGATATCTACACGGTATATTAAGTGTAGTCATTGCACCTGTTTGCAGAGGCGGCTGTCATGAGCGCATTCTAGGCACCGTTGGTAGAGTTCGTAACACACCACTGGCTCCGGTAAGGCCTCCAAGAAGATCAACAGAGCCTCAGCTACAGAGTGATTACAACCAGCTACACCAACAGTTAGGGAACAGCAATGACACACTGAGAGCTAGGGTCGAAATAACCCTTCTCACTCTGACCTCCACCACCACAAGGTCATGTGATTACTATTTTTACTACATTAATATCATCACGATAATAATGCTAACACATTTTCATGACCAAGACACAACAGGGTTCATAACTTAGCTGAGTTAGTTAGTATGCAGGTGTTTGTCTTTGCTACTCAATGTGTCTTTAATTCGTTTTATGTGCTGTGTGGCATTTCAGTGATTGCAGCACTGGGTCTTAATGAAATCTGTGCTTGTGGGACTGGCTTCATCAACAAGGATACAGATGGAGTCTGGGATGCTGGTGTCCAGACAGTCGATGATGCTCTGCAGCTCCTCCTGCAGGCCTGGTGTCTGGAACAAGTCCTCCTGAGAGATAAACAGAAACGAATATGGAA